CGCCACCGCCGCCCCTCCTCGTCCGCCTCCCGTTCCTTCCCCTCCCCCTCGGGACCCAAGCGAGCCCACGCCTCCCACGAAATGGTTGTGTACACCAGCTGCACGTTTTCTTGCACCAGCTGCGAGTCCCATACGTCCCGCGCTCCGGTTAGCTGACTTTAGAGGAAACAAGCCGCCCTCAAAGCAGGGACAGGGTTCCTGGATCAACTTGCCACTGGAGTGCTTCACTTTGGTACTGTAACTGATACATCACCCCACCTCCGAGGTGGGCTTCGACCTTGGGGACGGGGCAAGTCTCCTCAGCAGCGGACTGACGAAGCACCTCCTCCCCCTCCTCCGAAAAGAAGCATATGAAGGAACAGCAGCAGGGGCAAGAGGCCCTCCTCATCCTCATCCTCCTTCCCCACTCCCCTCTCTCGTGGGCTGCGGCCAGGCCATAGCCTGATCAACTGAAGAGAGACAGGGCGGCCGCGCTGCCTTCTTCATGTACGCTTCAGGCGGCGCTTCTGCAAGTTCCTCATCATCGTCGTCGTCATCTTCCTCCTCGCGCGACCATGGGGCGCGGCGAGGTGAGAGAGCAGGAGAAGCAGGTGGAGGTAGTTGGTGCCAGGTCAGACAGAACGGCCGGGACAGCCGCATGGACAGGGAAAGTGGCAACAGCAGCATCAACCTCGCAAAACGCAGGATCAGGAACAGGGTGGCAGCGTGGGGGCAGGGGAAAGCAGGAGAAGCAGGAGGAATAAGAAGGGGAAAGATGGAGACGAGTGAGAAGAAAATGAGGAAGAGGAGGAACGAGGAGGATAGGTGAGAAGGAGTGAGGAGAAGCACGATGACGAAGAGAAAACGGAAGGGGAGGAGCAGGAAGAAGACTGGGAAGGGGTCCCATGGCGCTCGGGGCAGATCCGCCGACCCCCGCTTGACGGGGGAGAGAAGGTGACTGAGATGGTTGGATGCTCCCCTCCCTCTTTCCCCCTTCCCTGGGGTCCAGAATCGCGTGAGAGATGGGTGTGCGAACTCGCCAACGCGCCTCCAGGGCTCGCTGCACCTGCAAGTCAACCACCAGTGACCTCCCAGATACCCAGGATACCTCCCAAGATGGCCCAGGAACGGCTCTGACACGCCGTAGGGCTCAAGAACAGCCAAGACGGCCGGAAGCCTGCCCGAGAGGCTTATTCTTCAAGAGGCTTACGCCGTCCCGCCGGCCCCCCGAAGAGGAAGTGTGCGGCGTCTGGTTCGGTATTTGTTTGCTGCTTCTCGTCGTGCTGCCTGCGTTTAGTTGCTGCCGGTTCGTCCTCCTCCTCCGCGTCCGTTGTGGGACCTCTTGGTGGCCATCTTGGGGGCCCTCTCGGAGGAGTTCTTCGTCAACCGCCCTGGGGCCCTCTTGGGCAGTCTCGTGGCCCTCTTCGGCCGTCTCCGGGCCCTTGCGCTTGAAAACCGCTCGGGCTTTTCGGGGCCGGTCTGGGAGGTCCTCGCGGGCCGCCAAGGGCCTTCAAGGTGCCCGAAAAGTCAGGAACCCGAGCGTGGCCAAGAAACAATTGGAGATCAATGACGGTTGCCTCTTGAAGCCCGTCGCTGGAGATTGTGGGCGCATCCCTTCTCTTGGAAACGATGCCTCGGAATACTTGTAGGCACACCTCTTCTTCTGATGGACTTTCCAGCGCAAGGGTGCCAGAGGGCCAACTCCTCCTCCTCCTCCTCCTCCTCCTCCTCCTCCTCCTCCTTCTCCTCCTCCTCCTCCGCTTCCTCCTCCTTCGTCTTAATCATCGCCCTCCTCCTCCTACTCCTCCTAGTCCACTTCGTCCTCCTTCGTCTTCAACATCACTCTCCTCATCATCCTCCATGTTTCTCATCCTCATCCTCGTCATCACTGTTCCTACTCATCCGCCCCACACAAGGAATGCAGCCCACAAGGGGCGGAGCGTGGATTTGCCATGATTAGCCGGAGCGTGGTGGAAGGAAGGGGATTGGAACGGATGGGGCAGCTAACAGGGAAGAGTGGAGATGTGAGGGGACGAGGAAGGGGGCTCGCCAGGCGCACCCACGCCAAAACCTGACATACGACCCTGCCACGCACCATTTCCCAATGTGAAAAAGAACGGCGAGTTATGTTTACCGAGCCTGGTGTCGAATCGGAAAGATACCCAAGTGGCCCTTGCACTGCTTGATCTACCGCTTACTGCACAGAGGGGCGAGGGTTGGAAACTTCAAACAAGGATATGCGAGCGTGCAGTGCTAGAGGAAGACGAAAAGGATAACAGTCACGCCAAGCGAATGTGTCAAGCGAAGTAGTTTCTATACTGAAAATTTGTAGAGCGGGGCAGGAATGTGGCAGGCGCAGAAGCGAAAACACCACTCCAAGCGACTAGAGATATTCGAATTGCCACAAACAAATACTTCGAGGGGTCTTGTGAAAACAGCTATACGCGAGAGCGGCGGCTAAATGGATGGCAAATGGCCGAGGGAGAAGGAGAAGTGTGCTTACGGGAATAACTGTGGGGGGGAAGCTCGGCGAGGTTTGGACAGCATCTGGCATCCGACCATCCCCGCTCATACCTCCCCGTTGAGCCTATCCCTTTTCGTGGCGGCCAAGGGAGGGCAGAGCGGGAGCGGTTGTCTTCTAGGAAGGCAGTGGGCTTCCTAGAAGGGAGCGGCCCCTTCCTGGAGGCTTGTATGAGATTAGACGAAACAAAGGCTATCACTGGCGTGTGCCGAGCAACTAGTTACCTGCAAGGGGGGCAGCTTAAACAAAGCCTCACATGCAGAATGTTGGAGAAAACAGATGTGGAGACAATGGGAAGTGTGGCTGGCACCAATGCGAGCCCTGACTGTGATCCGCGCTTTGACGAGAGCAGCATGATGAGCCAAAGTATTTGACCACCACTACGGCGAGGGCGCCGTTCTCACTTCCGGAAATCGCCCAGTCTGAAAAGCAAACACTGACGACATGGAAGCACCCTCTGGTATAGAACCGTGGACAATGAGCTCCACGACTAAAACGGCACAGCTGGGGCAGCTCTGGGGGGATACTTTTACTTATACGACCACCCTGCGGGTGATAAGGAACTTGGGGGGGCAGCAGTGGGAAAAAGTGGTGGTTGTTGTTCTGACGATGCCTGTGGGGCGGAGTGTAGTGAGTAGTGCGACGTGCACGTGGGCGTGATGTGACGTGGCGATTCTATGTGTATACATATCTATAGGCACACCAGATTTTACCAGCTCGCTACGCTTCGCCTGTTTGAAAATCTTGGTCGCACAGCGCCAGGCGAGACGCGCCGCCACGGGTAGTCGCCAGCACCGCGGCGCGTGTTCGGCCACGGGGCCCATGGGGGCACACGAAGGCTGCTGGGACCCGTGGGCCCCTTTGGGTCAGAAGTCTGCAGGGCTGTCCGCCACAGCTCGGGCCCAAAATCTCGGAGCGCCAAAATGAGAGAGGGGTACTTCGGGCAGCGCGGCTCCTGGGGATCATGAGCTTCGGAGAGCCCGCAGCCGTGTTTGAGTTCTGAGGGCTCCTCGGGTGGATGAGCTCGTTGGGCGTGGAGGCCCATAGTGTCCTTGGCCTCACAGGAGCCACTGGCTCTCGAGCCCCATGGAGCGGGTCGGCCCATAGGGTTTGTGACGTTCATGGGAGCCATAAGGATCATGATTCGAATTGGGCCCAGGAGGATCATAAGGCTCAGAAAGAGTCGTCGGGGTCAGAAGGCGCGTAGGGCCGACGGGGCTCGCAGGGCTCATAGGACTCTTGAGGCTCGTAGGGGTCGCGCGGACCACGGGGCCCATGAGGCTGATAGGGCTCATGGGGCTCGTAGGTTTTCTGAAGCCCATAAGCGACACAGGGCCCATAGGGCCCACTGGGCCCACTGGGCCCGCAGGGCTGATTGGGCTCGTTGGGCTCATTCATATCATAGAGCTCTTGGAGCTCGCAGGGCTCATACGGCTCCTGAGGCTTAGATTTCCCATAGGCTGGCTCACAGGCGACGTTGGGCACACAGGGCTCACAGGGCGCATAGGGCTCGCAGGGCTTATGTGGCTCGCACGGCCCATGGGGCCCATCAGGCTCATTATCATCAGCATCATCGTCATCAGCATTATCATCAACGACATCATCAGCATCGTCGCCACCGTCAGGATTGATGAACAAAGGGGCATCTTGGGCATCGTCATCAGCATAATTGTCATCACCAACGTTCCGAATAGCTGCCAGGGCATCCCATTGCGGGGGTACTGTGTAATCCCACGAGCCCGCTGGGCGCAAGTACAATAAGGGGTCATATATCCCCTCCTCCGCCTCTTTCACCCTCTCCTCCGCCTCTCTCCTCCTCGTTCCCCCTCCCCCTCCTCCTCCCTGCTCCTCCTCTTTCCTCCTGTATCCTCCTCCTCCTCCTCCTCCTCCTCCTCCTCCTCCTCCGCCTCCTCCTCCTCCTCCTCCTCATCTCTCCTCCTCCTCCTCTCTCCTCTCTCCTCCCCTCCTCCTCCTCCTCCTCCCTCTCCCCATCCTCCTCTCTCTCCCTCCTCCTCCTCCTCCTCCTCCTCCTCCTCCTCACTCTCCTCCTCCTCCTCCTCCTCCTCCTCCTCCTCCTGCCGCCTCCTTCCTCCTCCTCATCATCTCTCCTCCTCCTCCTCTCTCCTCTCTCCTCCCTTTTCTCCTCCTCCTCTCATCCTCTCTTCCTCCTCCTCCTCCTCCTCCTCCACAACCTCCAACTCCTCCTCCACCCCCTCCTCCTCCCCCTCCTCCTCCTCCTCCACCCCCTCCTCCTCCTCCTCCTCCTCCTCCTCCTCCTCCTCCTCCTCCTCTTCCTCCTCATCCTTCTCCGTCTCCCCATAGACGCGATGCTTCAAACATCAAACATGCGCGTATCTGCTCTGCAGTGCTATGCTATGATATGCGATGCTGCGCAATGCTATGCCTCAAAAACCAATGCAATGCCATGCTATGATATGAAATGCAATGCTATGCAATGCTATGACGTGCTATGCAGTGCTATGATATGCCATGATGCAATGCTATGCAGTGCTTTGCTCTGCCATGGCTATGCAGTGCTATGCTTTAATATGCTATGCAATGCCATGCTATGATACGCTATGAAGTGCGATGGAGGAGGCGGCCACTACCTTGAATACCATTGAGGTCAATCCAGGCGGAGGGCGGCGGAAAGGTGGCGGAAGGACGGCGGAAGGGCGGCGGAATGGTGGCGGAAGGGCGGCGAAAGGGCGGCGGAAGGGCGCGGCGGAAGGGCGGCGGCAGGGCGGAAGGACGGCGGAAGGGCGGCGGAAGGGCGGCGAAAGGGCGGCGGAAGGGCGGCGGAAGGGCGGCGGAAGGGCGGCGGAAGGGTGGCGGAAGGGCGGCGGAAGGGCGGCGGAAGGGTGGCGGAAGGGTGGCGCAACGACGGCGGAAAGGCGCGGAAAGGCGGCGGGGGGCGGCGGAAAAGCGTTGGAAAGACTGCGGGCTTCCCGAGCCGTCACGGAGGGATTTCCATGGAATTCCTGCAAATCCTGGAAATAGAAAGACCAGAATCCAGAAATTGAGGAAAAGCCGAGACACCAGGAACCCAGGAATCGTTGAAACTCGAAGATCTCCGGGGATCCATAGAAATCAAAGAGTCGATAGAACCCCCGAACTGTAGGAAATCAGACATCCAGGAACGCGGCATGCGGAATCCAGGACTTTCGAAATCCCAAGAATCCAAAGAAACCGAATACTAATCCTTTAGGAATCCTTAGGAATCTCTTCGGAATCCTAAGGGGTCCTTAGGAATCCCGTCGGAATCCTTCGGATCCCCAGGAATCGGTAGGAATCCCTTGGGAATCCACAGGACCCCCTGAGGAACCTTCGGAATCCTCAGGGCCCCCTGAGGAACCGCTGGGAATCCTGAGGATTCCCTTAGGAATCATCGGGGATCCTTTGGAACCCGCAGGAACCCCTCAGGAATATCTGAGAATTCTTGGGGGTCCGGAGAGGCGGGTGCGAAACGGTGTACATGGTATGGTATTCCGATACCCTGCCCGCTCTGTCGGGGCCTCCCTTGCCCCCTCCATTGTCCAATCCATTTTCTCTCCCTTTTCCCTCCCTTCTTCAATCTTCCATCGTCTTTCCTCCCCGTGTCCTTCCATTTTCCCTCCCTTTTTTCTTTCCTTCCCCTATCCTTATCCCTCCTTTTTTCCCTCGCATTTTCCTTCCCTTTTCCCTCCCTTTTCCGTCCCTTTTCCCTTCCTTTTTCTTTATATGTTCCATTCCTTGTCACTCCCTTTTCCCTCCCTTTTTCAATTTCTTTTCCCTCCCGTTTCCTCCCCTGTCCTTCCATTTTCTATCCTTTTTCGTAAATGTTCCCTCCCGCTTCCCTTCCTTGTCCTTCCTTTCCCTACCGTTTTCCCTTCTTTTTCCTTCCTTTCCCTTCCGTGTTCCCTCCCATTTTCCCTTCCTTCCCTTCTCCCTCCCTTTCCCGTCACTTTTTCCATATTGTTTCCCTTCCTTTTCCTCCCCTGTCCTTCCCGCCCTTTTCCCTGCCTTTTCCCTCCCTTTTCCCTCCCTTTCCCCCCCCCCATATCCTTCCCTTTTCCTTCCCTTTTCCTTCCCTTGTCCTTCCCTGTTCCCTCCCTTTTTCTTTCCTTTTCCTTTCCCTCCCTTTTTCTTCACATGTCCCTCCCTTTTCCCCCCTTTGTCCCTCCCCTTTCCCTCCCTTTTCCTCCCCTGTCCTTGCCTTTTCCATCATTTGTTCCATCCCTTTTTCCATCCTTGTTTCCCTTTCTTTTCCCTCCCCTTTCCCTCCCTTTTCCCTTCCTTTTCCCTCCCTTGTTCCATATATTTTCCCTCCCTTGTTCCCTGTCTTTTCCCTCCCTTTTCCCTCCCTGTTTCCCTCTCTTTTCCCTCCCTTTTCCTTTCCTTTTTCTTTCCTTTTTCCAACCCTTTTCCTTCCCTGTCCTTCCCTTTTGCAACCCTCCCTTTGCACTTTTTTCCCGGGCCGAATGAAGGGCAGGGGCGACCCGCGGAATCAATTAACTCCGGAGTTAAGTGATGTTGCGGCCGGGTGGAAGCAGCACTCATAGAGTGACTTAACTGCGGAGGTAAGTCGTCGTGAAGGTGGTAGCAATACAAAAGGAGAGAATCACTTAACTTCGGAGTTAAGTGATAAGTACCTTCCTGGTTTCAGTGTTTTTCGGGGGGGAAGGGGGGGGAGGTTCGAACCCCCCCCCCTCCGTCACGGGACGGGGGGTACATACACACATACATACATGCATGCATGCGTGCATGCATGCGTACATACATACATATAGACATACATACATACATACATGCATGCATGCATACATACATACAGGCATGCATACAGACATACATGCATGCATGCATGCATGCATGCATACATGCATACCTGCATACATGCATACATGCATACATACGTCTATACATACATGCATACATACATGTATGCATGCATGCTTACATACATACAAACATACATACACATGTTACAGACATACATACATGCATACATGCATGCATGCACATATAGATACATTCATATACGTATATACAGACAGACAGACAGGCAGACAGACAGACATACAGACAGACACATACCGTCGAAGCGTTGACCTAAGGAACCCTAAATAAGGAACGATGCCCCTTTTCTCCAGAAGTTGAACTTCGGCTTCCCTTCGAAAACCTAAGGAAAACCTGAGGCAAGCTGTGAAACACGTAAGGAACACCGAGCCCCTCCCCAACGAAAAGCGTTCCTTCTTCAAGGCCCCGACTGTGTATATATATATATATACATACATACAAACAAACATACATACATACATACCTCCTTACCTACCTACAGACTTACATGCATACATGCATACATACATGCATACATACAAACACATAGACATACATACAAATATACATACGTGTGTGCTGCGCAGTTGTGGTGGGGAAGGCAGGAAAAGAAAGGAGGGAAAGGGTGGGGAGGAGGGGACGCTAGTGAGGAGGGACGGTGGCAGGCGGAGTGCGGGGACGGAGATGGCACGCGAGAGCGCTTTCCATCCTCTTCCTCGTCTTCGTCCCCCTTCTTGTCGGACAGCTCGCCCACCTGCGGAGCCCGCCCAGCGCCGCCCCCACTCTCCAGCGCCTACCTGGCTCCGCCTTTGCACAACAACACGCGCCCCGCCCACGTCCCCCCCCACCCCCCCACAGCCCTCAGCCCCGCCAGCCACACTCCCTCCCCATCCCCTTCCTCGTTCCACCTTTCCTTAGGGCTCCTGCCCAGAGCAGATTGGCCCAAGTACCGACAGAGGCCATTAAGCGCGAATCGCGAAAAATGCTTGCCTCGGGGCAGATCGCTCTACGCCAACATGCAGACCCTGTGAGACGCTCTGCTGCCGAGTTGGCCGGACATCATCTCCGACCCTATCTGGGACATGCAAGCGTGGGCGCCGGAGACAATATTACGATAGTATGCTGATGCTCAAGCAACTGTCTGGCCGTGGCTGGTTCGTCTATTTTCCTGTACGTCTCGGTGCTTCCACTCTTGGGTCATGACGTCGTCTCTGAACGCCGCTCTCAACGCAGGTTGGCTGCACTGTCCTCAACAGAGGACCACAATTCATACGTGCGTAGCCTGCTCATCGCTCATCGCTCGTACTCAGAAGGGGTCCACAATCACGACTGTGGTGCCACATCGCCAGCGGAGGAGACAGTCCGTGGCTAGTTCGCGTGAGGCCGTGTCTGCATCATTCTGCCGCGGCGGCAAAGCAAAGGCTTCGTGAGAGCCAAGAATGAAGCAGCAAATCCTCTCACGCGCTGTCTGGCGAAAGGCTCGCGTTCGATTCTCGACTCGGATCCTCACAGAAGAAGCGTGTACTCTCCAGTATCCCCACCGTGTGTTGCAAGAAGGGCGCTGACTTGACACAGACACGCAACAATGGTGAAGCCGACCACAACATTATCCAAGTAACACGTGGATGAGCAAGTAGCACAGCAATGAGTCTGGATGTCGATTCTGGCCGAAACAGTGTGGCTGAGCACGTGTACACTGATCCCCCGACTTCAAGAGTGCCTTTACAAGCTGGCTCAACCGAACCGAAATGCTGCGGGGTCGTCTGTTATTCACGGTATGTACCCGGACTTCCAGCCATCTGGTACCAAGGGCTTCCTTTCCAAGTATGGCTCCTCTCGAGTACCCCTGGACGCCACCCCTGTCCCCGGAGATCCTGGCATTCTTCAGCTTCTTCAAGGCCTTCCACCTCGCGTTTTTGACGCTGCTCGTACGCAGTTCCATGTCCTTCTCCAGCATTCCCGCGCCGACCTACATGGCCTAAGCGGACTCCGTCCTCGTCTTTTTGTTTCGTCTCTTTCTCTTTCGCCTCGTGCCTGTATTAGATTCCGGTGCAGCCCACCGCTCGCTTGACCGGCGCATGACCGTCTCTCGCACACCGTGGCGCCCGCGGACGCAAAAGTGTACACTGACCCTTGCTAGTGAGCATCCCCTCCCTCACTCGGATGGTCGCCGACCATTTTTCACCCCCCAATCACTCTCGCCAAGAGACAGTACAACATGCACATGGTACACACACGCACACACACACACACACACTTTTTCATTCGACGCGCTCGTGAAGTCGATAACAGCTGCGGGGATGCTAACAACTGTGATTACTTGCCTTGCGAAGCGCGTGGCAAAGCTGACCCCCAAGAACCGCGCAGTGGCGAGTCAGGGCAGAAAAACAGACGGGGCAGGACAGGGCGGAAAAGACACGGCAACGAGGCGGAGGCCAGACGCACGCAGGGAGGAAGCCGAGAGGACGCGGCGCCCAAACACGAGCAGGGAGGCACGGGGCGCAAAGCTCCGCGCAACGGCAGGAGACCAACCCGAGTGAGCGCGGGGATTGGGGCGGCGCACACGAGCGACTGATGGAAGACACACACACACACACACGCACTCACATCTTCCTCCAATGCGCAGATGACCAATGGGCAGTTCAGCAAGCAGGGCGGGGCACGCGCAAACTGGATCCGAAGAACCCACAAACAAGTGCTAAGCATGGCACGAGCAACCCTAGCCACCGCTGGCAAGACTCGGCACAACATGAAAGAGCGTTGCACTTGCCCAGCGAGACTAATCCAGCGACCAAGCGAGGGCACAGCGCTAAAGCACGCACACCAGACTGTACGTGAGCCTCCCCGCAAGCACGATCAAAAACATGCTGAGTGCACGTCGCGTCTCTCCTGTGGTCGAAAGCACGCTTACGAAAGGACGCACACTGGATGACGCGGGCCCACCTCGCGCACCTGGCCTGCGTAGCTCGCACGCGCCTGGCCCACTTAGCGCTCCAGGTCCCACGGGGACACGCGGCACACCTGGAGCGCCTCGCGGGCGTGGCGCGCCAGCAACACCTGGCACGCCCAGCGTGCCTGGCGCAACTTGCGCTCTGGGCACGCCTGGCGCACTCTGCCAGCTTGGCGCAGCTGGCGCGCCTGGCGGGCGAGAATCACATGGAGCACCCATTGCACCTGGAGGGCGTGCCGCGCTGGCGTCAAAGGGATGGCGGCGCTACCCATGCTAAGTATCGAATACGACTCATGCGTTGGGCGGGCGGGTGAGAAGAAGCCCATCAGTTTGGAGACTTGGCCCTGCCCCTACACCTACCCATCCCGCTCCTCCGTCTAATCCTCCTCCTCCTCCTCTTCCTCCTCCTCTTCCTCTTCCTCCTCCTCCTCCTCCTCCTCCTCCTCCTCCTCCTCCTCCTCATGACCTGGGCCGTCAGTTGCTGATATTGCCGTCACCGCTGAAGTGAGATAATTATTGCGCATTCGTGCTACACTCCTCGTGCTGACAGAAAGGGAAGAGGGAGGAAGCGAGGAATAGCAAGAGCGAGAGAGAGAGAGAGAGGTGGCAAGGGCGAGAGGGAGCGCGAGGGCGAGGGCGAGGGCGAGAGGGGGGGGGGGGAGACGGGGACGGGGAAGGCGAGGGAGATTAAGGGAAGGGGGGGAGGCCCCCAACCGCCCAGCTCCTGGGGTCGCACGCTGGGCAGTCCGCCTCCGCCTCCAGCTGCTGCACCTCCGCCTGCAGCTTCCTGTGCTCCGCCTGGGCCGCGGCGCGGGCGGCCGCTGGCCAACCGCCCACCGCTCCACGCGAGATGAGCGCACTTTCAGTCGGCGGCGACAGACACGGCCCCGCGCGGTGGGACGAGAGATGAGCGCACACGGGCCAGCATTCAGGGCACAGGTAAGTCAGCATGCGGCGGTGAGCCGCCGAGGGAAACGGCGCGTCGCCAGAAGACAATCCCACCGGGGCACCCGCGTCGGGCACCCGCGTGAGAGCCCCGTGGATGATGCACGAGCAGTGCATGCCCATACCCGTCGGGGGCTCGGAGGAGGGAGAACAAGAGGGGGGGAGGGGGGTGAGGGGGGGGGGGTGGGGGGCAAGGCACGGCAGAAGGGCGCAGGCGGGGACGCAGGGAAGACGCGGGGACGGGCCCAGGCGACGGGCAAGAGCCGGGGAGAGGCGAGACGAGAGGAGGATGGTGCGATGGGAGGGGTCGGCGGGGAAGCGGCGAGGGACCGCGGGATGACCAGGGGGGAAGAGAGGAGAGGACGGGCGGGGAGACCGGGGGGTGGGCAGGAGGCCGGACCGCCCGCAGGAGCTCGCCCTCTCGCTTTCCCCCTCGTGCCGCGCCGCGCCGCCCCGGCGCGGCCGGAAGGGCGCGGCGGGGAGCGGGGGGGGCGTCCTCGGAATCCGCTGACCCGCGCCTCCCGATCTGAGGACGCGCTATGGAAGAGCATGCTGCGCATGGAACGAATTGAGTCGAGGATGAAGTGTTGGATCCGTGAGTGGATCAACCTGGACAGTACGATGATCAGAGGCTGTGATGCCTCTATTGGTTTTGAGTCGGTTATGATGCCAACCTGGTCCCGTCTCCAGGGACTTCGCATCCGCCTGGTCGTCGGACCCCGCGGAGGACAGGCGTCCGACCCCGACTGAGAGCGCCAGGGGGGAACAGGCCACGGTGGCGGCGCCTTGAGCTCCTCCAGCTCGTTGACGCCCTCGGTCAGGGCGGCGGCTGCCTCACGCTGCCCCCGCCAGAGGGCAGGGACGAAGAGCAGGGAGCAGGGAGCAGGAGGAGGAAGGGCAAGGGCGAAGAGAAGGGGGAAAAAGGAAGAAGCGGGGGAGAGGAAGGGCATGAGCAAGGAGCAGCACGTGCAGGAAAAGGGAGAGGAGATTGAGGAGAGCAATGGCGACGAAGGGCCCTGGGACCCATGGTATGAATCATAGCACTGAAGTTTCTCAAGCCTCCTCCCCTGAACTAGCGTTTCACAAGCATGTAAAGTTGCATGCCGATGTCGGGGCTGCGGAACCCCTCCAATCATTAGAGCACGTCCTCAGCAGTGCAACTTCAGGCTGCAAAAGCGGCCATCACCTGCGGACCCGTCCTTTGGGCGACCATCCCCTGCCCGCCGGCGTCTTGGCGTGCTCGGTGAGCCACTTGATCATGAAGGGCGCCAGGTTCTCTGGTCGCTCCTGGGCCCCATCTGCCACTCCAAGACTCGCGGGCTACCTCCGCCCCTCCCCCCCACCGAATTTCCCCTTCTTCCGATCCCCCTTCACAATTACACATGGTGAATACTACTCTCCTCTCTCCCCTGAATCTGTCCGAAAGATCTCCGGCACTCAGCGCATCTTCTTGCACACACACACACACAAACACAAACACACACACACACACACAGAAGTTCAACAGCTGATTTCCTCATTCCGCTTGTTGTCGGTGTTTCGAGATGTTCCCGCTGAAGCGTGGGCCTCATTTCCGGATCGGCGCTGTGCTCCCGTCGCTCAGAATTGCCAGTGCGTGCGCGAGGAGTGTCTCTAACTCGTTTGACCCAAGTAGCCCAAGTAGCCCAAGTAGTCCGAGTAGCCAAAGCTGTGAGAATGTCTCGAAAGGCGACGGACGAGTTGTGAGGATGTCTCGACTGACCCGAGTAGCCCAAGTAGAGGGTTGACTCAAGTAGCCCAAGTAGCCCAAATAGCCAAAGTTGTGAGGATGTCCTGAGCGGCGGCGCCAGAGCTGTGAGGATGTCTCGAGCGGCCCAAGTAGCCCCAGTAGAGGGTTTGACCCAAGTAGCCCAAGTAGCCCGGTGCCCGAATTGGGAGGATGTCACCATCGCAGGCGCCCATGTTGTGAGGATACCTCGAGCGGCGGTGTCCGAGTTGTGAGGGTGCCCCGAGCGGCGACGCGCAGGTCGAGTCAGGTCTAGCAGAACATGAAATTACGATGCGCGGCCGAGGTGGCACTCCAGCGCCCCAAGCGAGACGCCGCTTCGAGTCAACACGGTAGCGGAATCAAGCCAAATCAGACGAGGCGGAAAATTTCAGAAGAAAAAGTCACCCTGAGGCCCCCAGTAACTTTTTTCCCGCCCAAGTAAAGCGTTGCCACAACTAGCCCAAGTAGCCAAAGTTGTGCGGACGTCTCGAGCGGCGGAGTACGAGTTGCGAGGATGTCTCGGGCGGCCCAAGTAGCGCAAGTAGAGGGTTGACCCACGTAGCCCCAGTAGCCCGAGTAGCCAAAGCTGCGAGGGTGTCCCGAGCGGCAGCGCCAGAATTGTGAGGATGTCACGGGCGGCTCCAGCAGCCCAAGTAGAAGATTGACCCAAGTAGCCCAAGTAGCTAAAGTTGTGAGGATGTCTCGAGCGGCGGCGCACGAGTTGTAAGGATGTCTCGAGCGGCCCAAGTAGCCCAAGTAGAGGGCTGACTCAAGTAGCCCAAGTAGCCCAAGTAGCCACCAAAGTTGTGAGGATGTCTCGAGCGGCGGCGTTCGAGTTTCGAGAGTGCCTCGAGCTGCCCAAGTGGCCCAAGTGGAGGGTTGACCCAAGTAGCCCAAGTAGCCCAAGTAGTCAAAGTTGTGAGGATGTCTCGAGCAGCGGCGCGCGAGTTGCGAGGATGTCTCGAGTGGCCCGAGTAGCCCAAATAGAGAGTTCACCCAAGTAGCCCAAGCCCAAATAGCGCGGCGCCACAGTTGTGAGGATGTCTCGAGCGGCCCAAGTAGCCCAAGTAGAGGGCTGACTCAAGTAGCCCAAGTATCCCAAATAGCCCAAGTAGCCAAAGTTGCAAGGAGGTCTCGAGCGGCGGCGCACGAGTTGTGAGGATGTCTCGAGCGAACCAAGTTGCCCACGTAGAGAAATGGCCCAAGTAGCCCAAGTAGCCCAAGTAGCCAAAGTTGTGAGAATGTCTCGAGCGGCAGCGCACGAGTTGTGAGGATGTCTCGAGCGGCCCAAGTAGCCCAAGCAGAGCATTCACCCAAGTAGCCCGAGTAGCCAGAGTTGTGAGGATGTCTCGAGCAGCGGCGCCAGAGTTGTGAGATGTTTCGAGCGAACCATGTAGCCCACGCAGAGGGATTGAGCCAAGTAGCCCAAGTAGCCCAAGTAGCCAGAGCTGTGAGGATGTCTCGAGCGGCCCAAGTAGCTCAAGTAGAGGATTGGCCCAAGTAGCCCAAGTAGTCAAAGTTGTGAGGACGTCTCGAGCAGCGGCGCCCCCCAGAGGCCCCGAAACGGCCCCCCAGTGGCTTCAAAACTGCACCCCTCGAGCCCCCGAGAGGCAGCTGCTTCGAAGGCCCCTCGGCGTTTTGAACCCCTCGAGCCCGGGTTCGGGGCCCGAGACCGCCGAAGATCGACCCGGAGACAAAAACTACTTGACGGGACCCGCGGACAAGTCCGGGGCTCCATTTTAAGCCGACTTCTCCTCCTCATCCTCCGCATCCGCCTCAAGAGAAAGAGTGAACTCGCACCTGCGTCCTCGGACGCGGGGGCCCGCGACCCATACTGTCCATCTTTGCCTCCTGCTCATCCCTCCTCCCCCCCCTCCTCCTCCACCTCATCATGGTTCCTCCTCCTCCTCCTCCTCCTCTTCCTCCTCCTCCTCCTCCCTCCCCCCTCCTCCTCCTCCTTATCCTGCTGCTCTTCCTCCTCCTCCTCCTCCTCCTCCCTCCTCCTCTTTCTCTCCCTCGTCATCCTCATCCTCATTATCACCCTCATCTTCATCCTCCCCATCATCATCATCACCACCACCATCATCATCACCATCATCTTCCTCATCGTCGTCGCCATTGTCATTAACGTCGTCATCATCGTCATCATCAGCAGCATCACCATCGTCGTCATGGTCGCCGTCGTGTCAGCAGGACCATCCTCGTCACCTGGCAACACACTACCCGAAAGACTCCGACCATGATACTCCACAGTACTCCCGGACGGCATCCGCCGACACCCTTGAGATGTCACCGGCGTGCAACGTACTGCCCCGACTCCACCACCCGAAAAGCCCCAAGGACGACCACGGAACCCTCGGAGAGAACCCCCAAACACCCCGTGCATGCCTGATACCCCCCGCGACAGGGCCCCCCAAACGGCGCCCATGCGCGAAGGCCCGCCCAACAGCACCCGAACACAGTTCAAGGTCACCACCTGAATCTTTCCCGCAGCTTGCAAAGAAGCCGTGATAACGACCACGCGGAAAAAAAAGGAGTCGGCGGATGTGGCGTAAGCCTATAGAATCAAAGTTGTGAGGACGTCTCGAGCAGCGGCGTCCGAGTTGTGAGAATGTCTCGAGCGGCCCAAGTAGCCCAAGTAGAGGATTGGCCCAAGTAGCCCAACTAGCCAAAATGGTTCGAGCAGCGGCGCCAGAGTTGTGAGGATGTCTCGAGCGGCCCAATTAGCCCAAGTAGAGGGATTGAGCCAAGTAGCCCAAGTAGCCAGAGCTTTGAGGATGTCTCGAGCGGCCCATGTAGCCCAAGTAGAGGGTTGATCCAAGTAGCCCAAGTAGCCAAAGTAGCCCAAGTAGCCAGAGTTGCGAGGAGGGCTCGAGCGGCGGCGCACGAGTTGTGAGGATGTCTCGAGCGGGCCAAATAGCCCGAATTAGAGGGCTGACTCAAGTAGCCCAGGTAGTCCAAGTAGCCAAAGTTGTGAGGATGTCTCGAGCGGCAGCGCACGAGTTGTGGTGAGGATGTCTCGAGCGGCCCAAGTAGCCCAAGCAGAGCATTCACCCAAGTAGCCCGAGTAGCCAGAGTTGTGAGGATGTCTCGAGCAGCGGCGCCAGAGTTGTGAGAATGCCTCGAGCGAACCATGTAGCCCACGTAGAGGGATTGAGCCAAGTAGCCCAGGTAGCCCAAGTAGCCAGAGCTGTGAGGATGCCTTGAGCGGCCCAAGTAGCCCAAGTAGAGGATTGACCCAAGTAGCCCAAGTAGCCCAAGTAGTCAAGGTTGTGAGGATGTCTCGAGCAGCGGCGTTCGAGTTGTGAGAATGTCTCGAGTTACTTGGGCTACTTGGGTCAAACCCTTGGGCTACTTGGGCTACTTGGGCTACTTGGGTAAAACAGTCTACGTAGGCTACTTGGGCTACTTGGACTACGTGGGCTACTTGGGTCAACCCACTTTCAAGACACGCCTGGCGCATGCAATGAGAATTGCGCTCTCTCCACAGCGCAGGCCACTATTCTGGATCCGAGTCTTTTTTTCATCGATGTCGCTCCCCTCGTTTCGCCTCATCCGCCGTCCTCTAGTCCTCCTGCTCCTCCCATTCCTTTCACTCGAGTTCCTGCTGCTGATGCTGCTGTTCGTCCTCGCCCTACTCCGTCATTATCGTCATCAGCAGCATCATCAGCATCATCATCAGCATCATGAGCATCGTCATCATCAGCGTCATCATCATCATCATCATCATCAGCAGCAGCAGCAGCAGCAGCAGCAGCAGCGTCATCAACGTCATCATCATCGTCATCATCACCCTCCTGCTCATCCTCCTGCTCACCCACCACCACCTCCTCCTCCTCCTCCTCCTCCTAGTTGCCGTTTTCCGACTGCGCATAACACGAGAGGGTCTTTCTGTTGGAGTTCAGGTCGGCTATGACACGCGTCGGCGGATGGAGACACATCTGCGAAGGGACGGGAGGGACGAATAGGATGTCGGATATGGCGCAAACGCACCTAGTTTACCGCCTCCCTTCTCCCCGTCCCCCTACCCACTCTCTCCCACACGCCCTCCAACCTCTCTCTCTCTCTCTATCTATCTATCTATCTATGTTTCTCTTTTTTTGTTCTCTCTCTCTCTCTCACTCATTCTCACACTCACTCTGTCTCTCTCTCTCTCCAAGCTCGGCTCGAACGGCCCCCGCAGTGCGAGCGCGGCCACCCGACGCGAAGGCCCCCCCCCCGCGTCTTCTCGGCCGGGCGAGGCCGGGCACTCCCCACTCGGGAGCAGCCGATTCGCGTCTCTGCCTGACCTCAGCCGCCGCCGCCGCCGCCATGGCCCCCGAGGCCAGACGCCGCGCGCGCCCCGCACCGGCCCCGCCCAGGTGGCACCACCCCCTGGGGGCTGGGGAGCTGGGCAGGGGGGGCGCCACGTGCTCCCACCCCCATGGGGGGCTTCGGCCGAGCTCCCTGCGGGCCACTGGTCGTGGAAGGGGCGTGCCGAAAGGGGCGGGGGTTGTGGATGCCACGACAGCGGACACCCCAACAATCCGATCGTTGAATC